ATAAAAGATCTCTGAGACCCAAAGCAAGACAAGTGGCCTGCTTTCTCACTTCAACCATCGTCCCAGATGCTCTTGCCAGTTCGGCAAGACAAGGCAAAGAAATAAGAAGCACAAAATTTAGAAAGGAAAAGGTTTATAGTTACACATGAGTGTCTGGGCAGAATATCCAAGAGGATTTAAAGAAAATCTGAAAACAGCCAAGTTAGAGGACAATTTCAATCTATAAAATCAACAGTATTTCTATATAACAGTAAGAATCATAAATTAGAGCTTGAGGTAAGGTGAAAATTCTACAAAAGGTTTGTAACATCTGTACAACTGAAAGAAGAAAACATTGCTGAGAAATATTAGAAAGTCCCAACAGAACACAGCCTACCTCTAAGGCTGAGTCAACTCTTGCTGGTGATCTCAGAGTTACCACAATCTCAAAACCTTAGCTGGCTTCTTGAGGAAGTCAGAAAACGGATTCTAAGATTCATAAAGAAATGCTAAAGACAAGAATAGCTGACACAATTGTGGAAAAACAAAGCTAGAGGCTAACCCTTCCTGATTTAATACCTTGTTACACCCTCCTAGATAGACAGCTGGCCTTGTCTTTGAGAAAGACAATTAGGCAACCATATACCCAACACCTGGACATTTACAGAGACAACACTGCATCTACATTTATATCTCAAATACAAACAGAAGTCCACATGATATAGATCACATATCTAAATGTAAAACTTTCAACTATAAATGTCTACAGGGAAATTAGAGATCTTAGATTAGGACAAGGATCTGTTGCTTCGCTTTTCAGAGATAGGGTCTGATATAGCTGGCCTAGAGCTGGCTAGTAGAAGAGGCTGGCCTTGAATGCCTGAGTCTCCTCTGCCTGCTCAGTGCTGGGATTACAGGAGTGTGCTACTATGCCCAGCTACAAATAAAAGTTTAAAAAATAAAAGCTATAAAATAAAAGTTTACTTATTTTTTATTTCAGTAGATACTAAAAGCATAACCTAAGCTGATACACTTGACTTCAAATTTTAAATCCTGTTCTTCAAAGGACATAGATTAGGTAAGAAATAAGTTACAGACTAGAAGAAAATATTTGCAACACTACATAAAACTTGTGTCTGGAAGAATACATACTACATTCAATAATGGGAAAATAATTAAGAAAATGAAGCTGGATACACTGGCTCATGCCTGTAATCCAGCACTTGGGAGGTTAAGGCGTATTATCAGATGTTCACAGCCAGAGCAAGCTACATAGTGAGATAAAAGGGTAAGCAGAGAGAGAAGGGAATGATGAGAGAAGGCAGGTAAGAAAACAGAAGATCTGAATAGTGAACTTCATCAGAAAGGGAACAGAATAGCAGTCAACATATGAAAATGACTAGCATCAATAGGGACTGTAAATTAAGCCACACATGAAACTGACAGCACCAAATGCTCGTAAGAATATGGAGCAAATGGGGCCCTCATGCTATGGGCAGAGTAGAAAACAGTACAACCACTCTGCAAAGCAGGTAGTTCTTATGGATTTAAGCATACATTTCTATGTATCTCTGCGATACTTTCCTGAGAGGAATGAGAACATATACCCACACAAGATGTACTCAGGGTTCACAGCAGCTTGGCTGGACTTATTCATTACCTAATGAATAAGCCAATTGTGCTAGATCCACACTACTCATTAGTAAAAATAATATGCCTGTAGGGGACACATAGGAGGGGTTTGAAATAGGGTATCTGGGGGTGATGAAGGCAGGAAAGAGAAGAGGGAAAGTGATGTACACCAAACTGGCAAGGCTGAGACCTGATAGGCTAGGGTAAGATAGAAGGGGAGGAAGACCTCCCATATCAGTGGACGAGGGAAATGGCATGGGAGGAGATGAGGGAGGGTAGGATTGTGAGGAGACAGGGGAGGGGGCTACAGCTGGGATACAAAGTGAATAAATTGTAGTAAATAATAATAAATAATAAAAAAATACCAAACTGCTAGCAGCACGTGTGAACTGCAAAACAAACAAACAAACAAAAAAAGCAAAACTATTCTAAGTAGAAGCCAGATACGGTTGGCAAATGTATGTCTGTTTGTTTGTTTTTTCTTTTTTAGATAGAAATGGCAGAGTAAGTGAAAGAAGAGCAGTGGCTGCCAAGAGCATAAGATGGGGAAGGAATGACTACCATGAGCTGCAGTTCTTTGAGAGTGATGGGAACAATCTATATTTTCATTGTGGAAGGGCAGAAAAACAACTGTATACCATTAAAATCTACTGGAACACAAGCATGTTACTTTGAATTTGGGGCAACCTCGGCTACACAGTGGACTCTTAAAAATGAAAACCAACCAACATCCCCTCCCCCTAAAAAAAAAAAACCAATGACTAGAGCACATGTTATATGTAAATTATACTCCAAGAAAGCTGATTTTAAAAAGATTAACAGGGGCACGGTGTTGCATATATATATAATTCAACAACATGGGAAGCTGAGGCAGGAGAACTGCTCTAAGGTACAGGTCAGGCTTAAATAAATAGCAAGTACTAAGTCAACCAGGGCTATGTAGAAGATTCTCTCTCAAGTCAGAAACAAAGTGGGTGGGGTAGGGCCTGGAGAGATGGCTTAGAGGTTGAGAGTATGTGAGGACCTGAGTACCTATGTCAAGAGGCTCAGAACCCAATACTTCTGGCCTCCATCCCTGCACCTCAGATTCACGAGCACATATCCACACACAGACACATACTTAAAATAATAAAAATAAAAATAAATCTTTAGGTGGGCACAGTGGTGCATAACTTTAACCCCAGCACTCAGGAGATAAAGGCAGGAGGATATCTGTGAGTCTGAAGCCACTTGGTTTACATATTGAGTTCCAGACCAGCCAGGACTACACAGTGAGTCCTGTCTGAACAAAACAAAAACAAAATCTTAAAAAAACAAAACAAAACAATCCTCTTCCTCAATACACAACCAAAATTAAGACAAACCTATGACAAGGTACAGACAGGTGTACACCACTTCATCACTAAAGGCCTGCTGTCCCTCACCCAAAATGCTTGGAACCATAGCATTTTGATTTTCAGACTTTTTTCTTCCAGATTTGATAATATTTATGATGCATAATGATGTATTTGGGGAAAGAGACTCAAGTCTAAAAACAAAATTCATATCCCATTTATCTTGAACACAACTTGACTGTTTTCTTGTTTTATCGTTGGCTGTGTGAATGCTGTGTGTGTGCAGGTGCTTGTGTCTCAGCAAGAGTCTGGGGTCAAAGGACAAGCCTGCAGTAAGTTTTCTCCTTCCACCTTTTTGAGGGTTCTTCGATTTGAACACAGGTTGCCAAGTTTGTTCCGCAAGCCCTTTACCACCTGAGTTACCTGGCTGGCCCTAGCATGAAGGACATTTTATTCAACAGCTTTAGCATACACTGCGTTTCGTCTGAGGCCAGTCAGAGGTCAGGTGTGGATCTTTGCCCACCTGTGCACTGTAAGTTTTGGGTTAGGACTGATCAACCTGTAACAAATTTCCTTTGGCTACTACTGCTTACTTTCTGTGCCTTCTGTAACTTAAAATACACTCACTTTGTAACTAGGATAAAGCAACCCGGTAAATTCATAACTAGTGGTGTAAGTAATTACATGCTCTAGCATTAACTAAAACAAGGACTATTTAGCAGACATTATTGTATAAACCCACGACAGGAAAAAAAAGTCTGCTTGAAACAGCAACGTGTACTTTTGGCGATTTTTTTTCTGCTGCAGACACAGATCAACTTTAACTAAAACTACCTGAATCTGCCTGCAATCTTATTTGCAACAAATAAAGCACATACAGTGTGTGCGGGGGGAGGTGACTAGGGGGACGGGACACGACACGGGACCCGACAAGACAGTCGGGGACGTCACGACACAGGGACCCTATTGAGTTTAATGTCCAACAAACTGGCGTCCAGATAACACTGAAGACTGCTTGGAGCTCTATGCCTCCCAGCCCCTCCTTTCTTCTGATGATGGGAAAAACTTACACCTTCTAAGCAGCCTGGTCTAAGCCTCACACACAGCACTAATCCAGGGCGGCGATCCACAGAAACACCGCCGCCCGTGGGCTTCGCGGCTTCCGCTAGGAAAGGCTCGGGCCGCAGCTTTCCAAACCAACCCCAATAGGCCTCCCTAGCGTCGGCGCCCGTGGCTGCGGGGAGGAAAACAGCCAAGTGCTGGCAGGCCCTCGCCGCCGCTCACCTGGTACAGCTCTTCCAGGTTGTACCTGATGGACGTGCTGCTCTGGATGGCCTTGACCGCTTCGTGAAGCTTCCGCCACGTGTCCTGAGTGTAGTTGTCAGGCAGCCGCGGCCTGTCTGTGGGGAGAGAGGGTCAACGGCCGCGCGGGAACAAGACGGGCCGGGGCACTGAGGCAGGGCCCGGGAGAGGGCCAGCCGGGGCGCGGGGACGTGGCGGAGCATGAGGTTCAGGGACAAGTCAGGCTGGAGCGCCGGAACCGGACAGTGCGGGAGGGAACAAGGAGGGCTGGGGCGCGGGGACAGGGCCGGCCGGGCAGCCCCAGGAGGCCCTGTCCGAGCGCGCGACCCGCCGACCGCCCCGTTCGCTCCTCACCGGAGCGCACCCACCTCGGAAGTTCTTGATGACCAGCTTCCTGGAGCCGCCAGCGCCCCCCGGTTTGGCGGGGCCACCGGCCAACGCCGCGGGCTTCGTGAGGCCGTTGGTGCGGCCCATGAGAGCCGAGACGCTGCCCTTCCGAGGGCCCTCGTCCGCCATGGCTGGGCCGGACGCCGCCCCGCCCCGCGCCGCCCGGCTCCTCCTCCTGCCCTGCGCCCCGTCCGTGCGCGCCCGGCTCCTCCTCCTCCTCCGATCGGGCTCTGCCCGTGAGCGCTCGGCTCCTCCTCCTCCTCCTCGCGGCGGGGTCCGCGCGCCCGAGGTCCAACCGCCGCGGCGCGCACCGGAATGATCCGGTTCCGGCGCGCGGACTCCGCCCACGGAGGGCCCGGGACCCGCGGACGTTCTACAACGAATGCTCGCGAGAGGGCGCCGGGAGCGCCCGCACCGAGTGCCGTCCAACGTCACGTCGAGGGCTGGGGGCACCCGGGCGAAGACTCGGGCGGGTAGAAGCGCCCCGCAACCTTGCCTCTGGGGCCACCCCACACCTAGGGCTCAGGGCGGGATACTCTGCACCCATTGATCTGGGATGCACCAGGGAGTGCAGGAGGACTCAGGAACACCTCCAGGAAGGACTAGGGGTGCGCGGGGACGTGTTCCCAAGTGGACCGCGACTGTTGTTCCTTCCGTTTGCTTGAGGGTGTGAGAGCCAGGACCACCTCTGCAGTGAGGATTGGCCACCCTCATACAGGAAGGGGTGAGCGGTGCTGGGAATCGGGTCACTAGTACACAGACGTCACCCGGGACGCAAGGACATGTTCCCCAATCGGTTGGGACTCCTCCAAAGTCAGTCTTCTTTCCTCGCGCTCGCCCCCGCCGGACCTGAGGCGTCCCAGTGACAGAACCCGGAGAACTGACAGCTATCCAAAGGGAGTGCTCGCGCCAGCTCTGCTCGCTAGCGCCACCCGCTCCGGAACCTACGTGCTGGGTGTACATCGTGGGGACAAGGAACAAAGACGGACCTGCGCCGGAAGTGAGGCGCTTAACGCCCGCGGCCGCAGGTATGGCGCATATCACCATTAACCAGTATTTGCAGCAGGTGGGTTTTGCTTGGTATCCTTGCCTGGTATCCACCACCTGGCCACGGTGGTGAGTCCTGGGGCCCGGTCGGACGGGGTTAGGGGTCCTGAGCTGGCGTTGAGGACACGAGGGTCTGCTATATGCGGCAGGCAGTAGGCTTGCTCAAAAGTTGCAAATGCTCCCCGGTGGGGCAGGGGAGGATCCGAGGTAGCGGTAGTAAGACCGGAGCCACTTGTAAAAGCGGTTGTCCGTATGGCACTGTCTGCACGAAGCACACTGCCTCTCTTAGCAGCTTTGCCCAAAGCCTGCAAATGGCACAGGCAAACAATGTTGCATCTGGGTTGGGGGTTGAATTTGCGTTTTATCCACAAACCTAGCACAGAGAGCCTGTGAGGGTGTTGAAGGTATAAATCCCACGAGGCAGCACAGCTGGTGCAACGGAGAGCCAGATGGGAAAGTCTGATGAACGTTTTAACTGATTACACTGCTGCTCATGGCTGTTTATGCATCTTGGTTTACACATAGCTCTATTATGAAGGCCCCCGTTTCCTGTCCCAAACATTCCTTTAGCTAGAACTAGTACTTGCTAGTGCTAGTATCCTTCTTCAGTAGCAGGCACTATTGTCATTTCTGCTTGTGCATATATATTCAGTTTGATTCCATCACAAGGCTCGGGAGGTGACTAATCCAAGTCCTCTCAGCTCAGAAGCATCACAGTTGAAACTCAGACTCTTACAAGATGCTGTTTCTGGAAATCATGCTTGAACCTCAGTGACTGTATTGTTGGCCAAGAGACCAGTCCCTGTTTCAGCACCTTGGTGACAGCCTTGGCCAGTGGGTATCTGTTGACAAATTATTTGTCTCTCTTTTCCCATGTTTCCTGTGCTAATTTCTTAGAAGCTGTTGGGATATGTATGTATGTATTTTTGAGAGAGGGTCTCTGTACATAGCCTTAGTTGTCCTGAAACTCACTATCGTAGACCACAGGGATCTGCCTGCCTCTGCCTCCTGACTGCTAGGATTAAGGGGTGGGGAGCCATACCCAGCTCACATTATTGATTATTTTTAATACGCGGCTACACTCTATCACCATTGTTACTCTTTTGAAGCTCAAAACTTCCTAAAGCTGCCTCAACTGTTTTCTTTGGTTTCCTTGATCCTTTTCTGGGCCACATGTTTTTCAAGCTCATCCAGGCCTCTCCTTACCCAGCTCTGGAGTCAACCCTTTCTTCAAGGAGGTTTATTTCCTGTCAGTGAGGGATGGAACTTATAAAACAACCCTGGTACCAGGTATGCTTGTTGCTGTGGACTTTCAGTGGCTAGAAAGAATGTGTACAGTGTTGAGAACTGTGAGGTTTCAGAGCAGGCTGCACACCTGGGGCCTGGTGTTTAGGACCTGAGAAGAACTAGGTGCACTGGGATGTCTTAAGCAGACTGATATGCCAGCCCAGGGTACTGTGCACAGGCTCTGCTTGGAGTATAAATTCATGATCCATATGGTGTCTAACCTAAAAGGATGCAGCTTCTGTGTTAGCATTTGGTAAAGCACCTACGACAGGTGGCTGGGTGCCAGGGCTGAGGTATCCATGGAGTGGCCAAACACTTTAAAAAAAACAAAACAAAACAAAACAAAACAGTACTAGGGACTAATCCCAGGGACTTGCACATACCATGGGGCTTAATTTACCCCCCTCCAGCTTTGTGTATTAAAGCCTGTCACTGTCCTTATTTTCTCCCCCACTCCTAAATCCCTTACTTATGTTGTTATTGAGGCAGGACTCTGATAGGACTCAATTAGAGAATGTGGGCCTGTGTGCAAGGTCCTGTTGCTAGTTGTACTTGAGGCTTTGGACACAATTAGGTGATTTTGGACATACAGCATTACTGGTATTAAGGTTACTTCATCCTGCCATCTCAAGGTCACTGGCAAAAGAGATCACTGGGGAGTAGGGCTGCTCCCTGCCAGCCATCTACACTGCTCATTACATGGACCTAGGACCTAGGCCTCAGTGACCACTGCACGCCAAGCATCTGCAGCCATCAGAAGTGTGCTTCTATTTCGTGATGTGTGCTTCAGTTCTGAAAGTTCAGCTACCAATAGGCTTCCTGTACAAAGAACTCTGGGGGTCTTGGAGACCTTCAGAGAGTCATGTTTAAATATGACAAGTGACTAGAATCCTTGATACTGACTAGGACATTGCTTCTTGTGCTGGGGTTCAAGTGGGAAGAATGATGGAATGATGCATTTGTAATCTTAGTGCCTCATACAAGGCCAGTGTCCTTGAGATCTTTAGAGGGGCCTGGCTTACCTGTTTTCTTACCCTAGGAAGATCCTATTTTGAAGTGAAGTTGTTTCCTGTGTAACTTTACCTTTTGATTAGTCTGGCCTCCTTCACAGAAGGAGGAAACTGCTTTTACAGTATGTAATGCATTGCTCAGGTCCTAGGAGAAGAGATGCTTGTGTACCTGTTCAAGTTTTCAACTTGTTTCAGGTATATGAAGCCATTGACACCAGAGATGGAGCATCCTGTGCAGAGCTGGTGTCTTTCAAGCACCCTCATGTTGCAAACCCACGACTCCAGGTAGGTGATAGATATGCCCATGGTGTGTGCAGAGAATGGAGATGGGTAAGGAAATGCTGGCTCTCAGTCTGCAGACAGGCAGGGTTCCTCCTTCCTACCTTCATGTATTATTATACTGTTTATTATAGTGGTGTGGACTTGCAGGTTTCTTTTTTCCTGTTAATTCACTTTGCTCTAGGTTACTATTAGTCAGAAAAACAACTGATAGAAATACATTTATACATACATAATACATGTATATACTGAGAGAGAGAGATTGGTTTCTGTGGGAAGCTGGGTCCTGTGGTTATGAGAAGGCCCTTGTATGACCTGCCATCTCCAGCTGGAGGCCCAGGAAAGGTGGTCCCAAATCCTTGGGTAAACCCAAGGTCTGCGGAGATGCAATAGTGTCTCAGCTCAAGATGGCAAAACTGGGTGATTTAAGGCCAATCTGGGTGACATGTAAAATTCCTCCTCATAGGTGTGCTCAAATCATCCAGACATCACCACTGGAAGGAAGGGAAAGTTAGAAATTATTGTTGGCCCTTAGCCATGGACGCTTGTTCCCTCTAGGAAGCTGTGGAGACATGACCTGGTCGCTAACTTGTTGATCTTCTTTCCAAAAGGAACTGTACACCTTGTGTATTAAAGCCATAGCCGTCACCTAAGTGTTTCTTGACTGACTAGCTGTTAACACTAGAACATGTGTGAGAGCCCATGAGACGGACAGTTGGGCAGAAGACCCTGCTGAGCAAGCCTGGCTCTCTGTGTGTGCCATGGCATATGTGGGCACACACCTACACCTACACACGCACACACACACACACCAAATAAAACAAAACAAAAAGAAACACATATGTCTGAAAGTGCCTAGCATGTTTTCTAGCCTGTAGCAAACAACTGAATTGCATTTTTGGACTTCTTGTTTTCTTGAAATACAGGTATTGGTGGAGCAATGAGCCTTTTCCTTAGAAGTACCAGACTAAAGTATTTCTTTGGGCTGGGAAGTTCCAAGAATATTCATCAAAGCTCTGTACATCTCTGGCTTTCTTGCCCACTAACTTTACCCTGCCCCTTTCTCTTTATGGATTAGATGGCCTCTCCGGAAGAGAAATGCCAGCAAGTTCTGGAGCCCCCCTATGATGAAATGTTTGCAGCGCACTTAAGGTAATATGTTGGCAGTAGAACAAACACACACAGCTGCATGTCTGTGATGCACCATAAGACTCACTTAAGATTTTATCATGCATCATTGTTTGCTTGCATAATTAATAATTATAATTAATTAACTTGGAAAAGTGGACGAATGTGTCACACTTGATATTTCTACTAACTGGACTGTCTTTTTATTAGTCAGTTGTACTGCCTAACTGAGGTCTTTCTTTTCCCGTGGAAATAATGTGGTTTTTAAGATCTTTGCCGTGTAGGAAAAAAAAAAATAAAAGAATCTTGAGTTAAGCAAAACAAACAGAAGCTTCTCTTTATTTACACATTTGTCTGCTGCTTTCACTCTGGTATGTCAGACAGTTCAGGTAGAACTTTACATCCTAAAGCCGTGTGCACAGGATTGCCCCTGCCTGCAGGCAGTATTTCAGAATAAGCTGGGCCAGGCTTTTGACCTTGCAGCAAGAGGCACCCCCTGCTTTCCTAGCTGTCTGCTGTCTGCAGTGAGGTTCCAGGTTTGCTGCTGAGCCGGCTCTGGCTGCCAACAGGAAGCTAGATAATGTGTCTTTGGAGGCTCACCGACAGGGGAGGGCTATTGTTTTCTTTGGTCCCTTTACTCAGAACAGCTGAAGTAATTTCCATTCTGGGACTTGACAGAGTAGTGTCAGAACTTTGTGTGGGATTTCACCTTCTGTCTGCAGCTTTCAGTCAAATGGTTAACTGTTTTCTTCCATCTGTGGGCCTCTGGCAAGTAGGAGCTACCTTCTAGGCACATAGAGGGTGGGGTGGGGTGTGATAGCACACACTCTGGGCTGATGTGGCATCTTGGTGCCATGTGTAGATGCTCTTTAGGCTCTGTTGTCTTTTCCAGGTGTACCTATGCTGTGGGGAACCATGACTTCATAGAGGCGTACAAGTGCCAGACAGTGATAGTCCAATATCCTTTGGCTTGTGTGTTACCGTACAGTGCGTTCCTGAGGCTCATAGTCTTGAGACATTGGATCAGCTGTGCAAACCTACAATTGTAAAAGAACTACACTATCTTGGATCTCTAACTTTAGCCTGGTTCTTAAGACTCATCCAGGTATTTCTATAATAAGGAAGTATACTGACCAACAATTTGGATTTTATTTATTTATACAGGATTGCATGGGACTATTTCCACGTGTATGTGTTTACCGTGAGGGCATTCCCTCCCATATCCCAGTACCCCATCCTTCCCCTCCTGCTCTTCACCTCAGTGCCGTAGACAGTATGCACATGGAGAGTGGGTTTTCTTTAATTTTGTTGAGAAGAACAAAGCTTGTGTTTGTGTGTGGTGCCTGCACATGAACATACAGGTGTCTGAGCTCATGTGCGCATGCAGAGGTCAGAAGCCAAAAGAGGACTTCTTGAATCTGACTCGAAGTCTTCAGATAGGATCTCTCAGTCCACAGGGAGCTGGCTGTTTTGATTAGGCCGGCTGGGCAGCAGGCTGTTAGGAATGGCTTGTCTCAGTGTCCCGGTGCTGGGGTTACGGGCGCGCACAGCGTCCACAGCTTTTCTCGTAGGTACTTGGGAGGGAACCTGGGCTCCTGCCTGCAGCAGGCACGCTCTTACCACGGAGTCATCCCTAGCTCCAAGAGTAATGCTTTCTTTTATATGTTATACCTCTGGCTGGCCTGGAAACTCACTTCGTAAATCAGGCTGGCCTTTGAACTCACAGACATCCACCCGCTTCTGCTTCCCAAGTTGGGAGACTAAAAGTGTGGACTACCATGCCCAGCCAAAAAAAAATGTTTTGACAATACCATATATGTATGTAGGTGCCATAGTGAAACCCATTACTTTGCATACTAACCAAAGACTTAATTAGGAAAAGAATGTTTTGTAAGTTGTGCTTGCAGGAACTGGTTAAATCTTAGAGGCCCATAGTCCAGCCTAAATGGAGAAGAGTAACGAGCATGCTAAGTCTTTGTAGAGTTCTAGATTTTAGTTTGTTTTTGAAAACTACTGTGCTTAAATACACTTAGAAGACAATGCTTCTAGCCAAGTCTCCCTAGACCTTAAGAATTCTAGTGTTGGTAAAATAAAACTTACACTACAGATTCTTGAGCACTTATATGTAGCTCATGACTGATGGACTCAAAGAAACCAAGTACAAATGTGAAAACAGCGTGTTGGGGAGATGGTAACATACTTGCCCATAAGTATGGGGACTTGAGTTGGATCCCCAGCACTGTCCCCCCAAGTTAAACCCCCTCCCAACAAAAACTAAACAGGAGTGGTATGTGAGCTTGTAATCTCAAAACCGGGAAAGTGGAGACAGGCAGGTCCCTGGGGCTCATTGGCTAGTGTAATTGCTGAGCTTCAGATCAGAGTGAGAGACCCTATTTCAAAAGAAGAAAGTGTACATCTCGAAGAATGACACCCACAGTTGACCTCTAGCCACAACACGTACATGCACACAGACCTGTGTACACATACACACATACAGACATGTACATATACACACAATCTTTTTTTGGGGGGAGGGGCCAGGATTTCTATATGGAGGCTGGCCTGGCGTTTTTCTCACCCAAGTGCTAGGATTGAAGGACTACCACCATTACTGGTTTACACACACAATCTTATAATAAAGTCTTGTTTCAGAGAATGCCTTGAGTCTAGGCTGCCGACACATGGATATTGTAGTGTGTCTTCTACATTCAAGATTTTACTGCCATCATGACACACAGTCATCTGAAGAGCACACTTGGCCTACTCTGCTTTTACTGAGTGTATGCTACTTACATTTTGTATGTCACACCTTCCTTAATGCAGCACATCATTCCTTCGGGCATTCCAGGCTCACAAAGAAGAAAACTGGTAAGCATGGACATGAATAGCTGGAAACTGGGAAGCACTGTCAGTGTGGGCTGGGCAGGAACAGCTGGAGACTAGGAAGTGCTGTGGGTGTGGGCTGGGCGGGAACAGCTGGAGACTAGTAGGCCCTGTAGTAAGCCCTGTTGGTGTGGGCTAGGCGGGAACAGCTGGAGACTAGGAAGTGGTGTCGGTGTGGGCTGGGGTTAGACTGAGTGGCTAAGTCTGTAGTCCTTGGTACTTCAGTGTTTCTGTTACAGAACTTGCTCTGTAGACCAGGCCCAAAGATCTACCATCCTCTGCCAAGTGCTGGGATTAAAGGTGTGTGTCACCACCAATGAGTTGCACTTTTTCTTTTCCAAGTGAAGAGTTAGCTTACATGTGAATGAAAGCCTGGTATTGGCTGCTAGATGTTCACAGACCTGTTTGATAACTGTGTGTATTATACATTTTGGCTCCTGCTTGGAGCCTCAGTGTTTTTAAGTGGAGCTGTGTGCTGGTGGTGGGAAGGACAGAGTTCTGGGGCTCCCAGCTAGACCAAGGTCCAGTTCCTGGAGCAGGGTTGGGACAGTGGACAGAATAAGAATTGAGTATTTGGCCAGAAAGTCTGGGAAGTGTCTGTGTGTTTGTATCCAATGCAGAACAAAGAGCAGCCATCTGAGTTGGGAGGGTGTGGACCTGGGTAGTACCTTGGTTGTCAGTGGTAGGATGTTGGACTGTTAGCTCTTCAAACATACTTGCTTTTTGCCCTTAGGGCTCTGCCTGTCATGTATGCAGTAGCACTTGACCTTCGAATATTTGCCAATAATGTAAGTTCAATTTCCTATCACTGTTGTCTTGAAGCTAAATATGTTAATTTCCATGTCTTGCTTCCTAAAAGCAGGAAGTGGGCTACATCTGGTGCAAGGAGGGAAAGGCCAGGAAACAGCTTGGCTGGTTGTCTGTGCAGACAGATTTTCTGTGTGTAGAGGGAAATGATGAGCCATTGTGGTACCGAGTAGAATGACACTGGAGCAGTTTTGCATCCTCTTGTACTTTGAAGAGGTGACCTGTGCTAAGGACTCATAGGTAGTAGCTGACGGGTTCAGATCCTGGATGTTACAGAGTCAGCCTCCGTTGAGGAGCAGTTTGGATCAGCTCTGGAGCCATAGAAACATTTTTTGGGGTCTTAGACCCCTTTTATAGTTTTGAAAACTGTTGGTGATTTCTGGTTCTAGATGAGCTGCTCTTTATTCTTCTCACAAAGACAGTTGTACACCTGGGAACTTTAAAGTTCATGTAACTCTTAGCCAAGGAGAGATGGACTGGGCTTCCTGTCTGCTTTGATGAGGAGCCTGCCAAGGAAAACATCTCTAAAGCAAAGATGAAACCTGTAGAAGCAGAGTGGTGACAGCCTCCGGAGGCAGGACTTTATAGACAGTCTGCTGCAGTGCTCCACACACAAGTCCGAGCAGCAAACAGTGGGGGCCTCAGCCCAACCCACTTGCCAGCACAGAGGTGGTGTCTCTGCTTTCCCACTAACACAGGGGTCCAACAGAGACCTGCTGAAACAGGGCACATAGAGAAGGCCTAGAGCTTTTAGAACACAGTATGCCAGAAGTCCCCAGTCGTGAAGAGACTTTACCAGACTCCACAACCATTGTTGGGATGAACAGGTGAGGATTTTTAAAGCAGCCATCATAACAGTGCTCCAGTGGGCAATTAGGAGCAAACAAATGAGAACAGTGGAGTTCTCAGCAAAGAGCTAGAAGGTGCAAAGAATAACCAAGTGGAGATCTCAGACTGCAAACATAGTAACTGAGGAACAGTAGGGGCTGGAGAGGTGGCTCAGTGGTTAAGGGCACAGAGGGCTAGGTTTGATTTCCAGTACCTACATATGTCTAAATCCAGTCCTAGGACATATAACACCTCTGGCCTCTATGGGCACCAGATACACACACGGTGCAGACATACTTGCAAGCAAAACACTCACCACGTAAAACAATAACAATAGAAATCTTTTGGTGGTTAAAGGAGAGAGGCTTTACCTTGTGTCTCAGGCTCTTAGTTTTACAGAGGTCATCTGGGGCCGGCTGTTGCTGCGTTTACTCCGTAGTAAGGTGCTGCTTTTTTGAGCATTTGGGAATGGGTAAAGGGAGGCGTATTCTAACAGCCTTTCAGATCATTATACACTGCTGTTTTCTTGACATAACCAAAGCTCCCAGAAGCATGTGTATTGTGTTTGCACTTACATGCTCAAGGAGGAAGGGGCAGCCTCAGATGTCATTCCTCGGGCTACATCCATATTTTGTTTTATGGGATTTTTTTGTTTTATTTTTATTTTGTCTTAGGGTCATAGCAGCCTGGACTTGCCTACTAGGCTATGCTGGTTGTCTGGGATTATAAGCATATACCACCGTGTTCTGTTGTTGTTGTTGTTGTTGTTTGTTTGTTTGTTTTTTGTTGTTGTTGTTTAAACCCTTGTTCTGGGGATCTAATTCAGGGCCTTGTGCTTACAAGGCAACCACTTCTCCGACTAAGCTGTCTACCAGGCCCTGAAGGATCTCTTAAAGGGCCATACATTGTGGTCTCTTCAGCGCATCAATGAACATTTTTACTGTTGCGCAGACCCTCTGGTTCATCCTGCATTTGGCACTGATCTTTCACCCTGCGTGATTCTGTGTTTTTGTTGTAGTTCTCTTTCAGTGTGTTCTGACTGTGGTAACAGTATACCATGGGCTGGTGGGGTATAAACAGCATTTTCATGTCTCACTGGTAAGAAGACTGACAGTCCAGCACCAAAGCACAGGCAGTTTATGTGTCTCAGAGGACTGCTGTCTGTTTCTCTTTTGCTGGTGGTGTCATTGCTCAGTCCTCATGGTGGGTAGACTAGGAAGCTCCCTGTCCCACTCTCCATTTGAAGACTTATTTGTGTTTTTAAATTACATGTGTGTCTGTGAGTATAGTTTCCTGTGGAGGGTGTTAGATCCCCTGGCGCTAGAGTTACTGGAAGTTGTGAGTTAATAGGGGTGCTAGGAATCCAGCTTGGGTCCTGTGTAAGAGCAGTATGCACTCCTAACCACTGAGGTGTCTCTTTAGCCCAGCGCTTCTCAGCCTGAGGATCGAGACCCCTTTGGGAGCTCCATATCAGATATTTACATTATCATTTATCTGTAGCAAAATTACAGTTGTGAAGTAGCAATGAAATAATTTTATGATTGGGGATCACCAACGTGAGAGGCTGTATTAAAGGTTGAGAACCACTGCTTTAGTCCTTCTGGTACCTCATCCATAAAGGCATTGGCCCCATTCAATAGGGCCCCCTCAAGACCTAATCACCTTCCTAAAGCCCTTAGTTCTTAAAAGCTTTCAGCTTTTGCACCATCTTTAAAAATGGGAGGAGACAGGCTGATTCTCTCCTAAACTCAGGGTAAGAGTGACACTTCATCTGCCCTGGCAGGTTTTGTTCAGGGCTGGACTGGAATGCATATCAGGGAAGGTCAGAGACTAAGGCGAGAGGAGGCTGCTCAGTCCTTTGGGACACACCGTCAACAGGGGCATCACAGTCCATCAGCAAAGGCAGTCAGGGCAGGAGTGGAAGCAGTGACCACACAGGAGTGCCGCTTACTGCTGTGCTCCGTCTGCTTTCTCCCAGAACCCGGACCACCTGCCAAGCCTGGTACTGCCTACAGTGAGCTGGTCGCCCCCAGCATCAATCACTAATTAAGAAAGTACCTCCCAGACTGAACAGCAGTCTTTAGAGGGCCTTTTTCTTAACTAAGATTCCCTCCTCCCACCTATTCCTAGATTTGTGTCAGGCTGACAGAGACCAAGCAGTCCAGCTGGAGCTGGTGTCAGCTTGACTTGAGGACAGATACAGTATGTATGAGAGGGGCTATAGAGATTGCCCAGTGGTTAGGAGCACTGGCCATTCCTTAGATGACATGTACACTGTTGGAGACCATGCACTCTTAGTTTCGCCTCTGTTTGCTTTAAAGAATAAACCACTTTTTATGTTGTCAGGCAGATCAGCAGTTGGTGAAGAAAGGCAAGAGCAAAGTTGGAGACATGCTGGAAAAAGCCGCTGAGCTGCTAATGAGCTGCTTCCGCGTCTGTGCTAGTGACACGTAAGTGAGGGTCTGAGGGCTATAAAGGAAGTAAGGAAAGGCCTCACATCCTCACCACATAGGCACTGTTTCTGGAGTGCGCACTGCTCTGTCCCCCTGAAGAGCTCCCTGTAGTCTGTTCTTGCTGCTGCCCTTCTGACCAGGACCTTACAGTGACTTCCTGAAAGTTCATCTGCTTTCGCTTTTTCGGGTGGATGTAGCCTGGCTTTCTTTCCCTGCGAGTGCTTTGAACAAAGTCTTGTGTAATTCAGTGGTTCCGACAGCCAAGCCCCTCACCCTTGCCCCTTCTGGGTACACTGGGCTTTTCACTGACTTGAGCGCTGCTCCTCTATCTAATGAGGTTTTTAGTCTCCTGAAGAGGGTTCATTGAGCTTCAGGATTGTGTGTGGTTGGTTTTTATTAGATTCTTTTTCTTTTTTTAATTAATTAATTAATTAATTTCATGTACACCCGCATGCCAGAAGAAGGCATAAGATCCCAGTATTGATTGTTGTGAGCCACCATAGGTTGCTGGGAATTGAACTCAGGACCTCTGGAGGGACAGATGGTGCTTTTACTCACTGAGCCATCTCTCCAGCCCCTTTTGTTGTTTTCAAGACAACAAAGGGTAGCTTTGGCTATCCTAGAACCTAGGCTGGCCTCAAACTCAGAAATCCTCCTGCCTCTGCCTCCCAGGTGCTTGCATGGCTTATAAGATTTTTTTTTATATTTAATTTTTTATATCCTTTTGATCATTTCCCCTCCCCTCTCTTTAATTTTGTGTAATTTGTCTTACCTGGTTTGCAAGGTAGCTGTTGTCAGCCTTGACTGTGCCTTGGAACTTGCTGTGGTAGTCATACTGTGTAGACCTTGTAGTTGAGGTCAGTGAAGGGGTCATTGATGGCAGCAATATCCACAACAATGGCAGACTTGAAGAAAGAATTGTCTCTGGTGACCAGGTGCCTCATATGGCCAAGTCTATTCACTCTGACCTTCGCTGTCATCTCAGGAAAGAGGGTGGCGCTGCAGAAGGTGCGGCTTCAGGAACAGGGAGGAGCAGAGAGCTGCCCTTTTCACATTTACCTGTTGGTGCATATTTTCCATCGTGCTCTTTTATTTGGTGACTGGCTTGAGCGGTGGGCCTTTATCTCACAGTGTGATTTGTCCTGGTAGTTTATTTGTAATTGACCACGTTTATCTGCTCTTCTGTAGCCGTGCCGGCATAGAGGACTCCAAGAAGTGGGGGATGCTGTTCCTGGTGAACCAGCTGTTTAAAATCTACTTTAAGGTTTGCTTTTGCATGAACTTTTGTGAAGTCTTATTTCCAGATAAATTGTTTAGTTTGCCTTCTGCCGTGTAGTAGGAAGTGATCCTAACCACATCCACATTAATAATAAGAGCTGGTAGTCACTCGGTGCCTCTCAAGAGCAAAGTTCTGTTTTAAATACAAGACTAGAGCTCAGTGAAGAAAATCTGCCCAGGGTTCTTAGAACCAGGGCGCACCCTGTGCCACAGAAGATAATAACTCAAGGTTCACGAAGATCTGACTTAGGCTAGCTCTCAGCAATGTGGCTACTCCAGGTACAAGACCCTGAGCACTGAGTGACCAGCCCTGTGGGGACTGAGCCCCGAGTACTTAGTAACTGGTCCTTGTGATATAGCTGGCCTCTGGGTATATATGGCTTCTTTTTGGAACCTTTCATCCTGGCTTTGTTTGACTTTTTTGTTTTGTTGGGTTTTTTTTAAATGATTTATTTACTTTTATGTGTATTGGTGTTTTTTTTTTTTTTTTTTTTTTTTGCACGTGTATCTGTGTGGAGGTGTCAGATCTCCTGGAACTGGAGTTACAAACAGTTGTGAGTTGTCATGTGGGTGCTGGGAATTGAACCTGGGTCTTAAGAGCTGCCAGTGCTCTTTACTGCTGAACCACCTCTCCAGCCCCTCATCCTGTGTTTTAATATCAACTTTATGGAGCTAGGGGTATAGGTGGACATGTAAGTGGGCAAAGGAATCAAGCTGTGCTTCATAAAGATAAGCTGGCTAAAGGTAGCCGGTCTAAGAACCTGTTTTTCACTTCATGGGACATTTGGTTTGTCTTTGCCAGTGTGGTCTAAATGCAGGCTTTTCCTTGGGCACTGGCTCTGACGCATGTTCAGAGCTGCATGCCCTGAAGAACTCCAAGCTTCTAGAATGTATGTTGTCTACACAAGGTAGTTTTTTGTTTGTTTGTTTAACAGAAATTTTGGTGATTTTGAAATTCATGTTTAAAAAAGAGCAGCTCATGTCTGTCCTTCCATCTGCCTGATCTGTTGATATTGCTTATGTATGTTTTACATGGCTTCCTCTTTATTATAGATCAACAAACTCCATTTGTGTAAACCTCTGATCAGAGCCATTGACAGCTCAAATTTAAAAGACGACTATAGCACTGCACAGAGGGTCACGTACAAATACTATGTTGGGCGGAAGGCCATGTTCGACAGTGACTTCAAGCAAGGTATGTTGGTAATTCTGTTTCAGAGTTTTAGGTAAGACGTGCCTTCTGTCCAAGTGGAGTGGCATGGATAGTCTCAGAGAGTATAATGACTGCATTAGATTAAGGTGGAATGTCTGTGTAAGTCAAGTCCAACTTGAGAGTGAGTGTATGAGTGTGTGTGTGTGTACAGACGCAGGCACATGTGAATATATACCATGTGTGTTATGCAGGTGCCCACAGAAGTCAGAAGAAGGTGTTGGATACCCTGGAGCTGGAGTTACAGGTGGTTGTGAGCTGCCTATGTGGGTGCTGGGAATTGAACTTGGGTCCTTTGGAAAAGCAGGAAGCACTTTTGACCACTGAGTCACCTCTCTAGTTGCCTTTGCTTTTTTTTTGAGACAGGGTCTTACTCTGTAGGCCAAGCTGTCCTGGAATCCGATGTGTAACCTTGATTGGCCTGAAATTCGTGGTGATTGTCCTGCCTCAGGCTCCTGAGTGTGCTGTGGTTACAGGCATGAGGCAAGATACCTAGATTTATTTTATTTTTGAAACTTACTGGTGTGTGAGTGTGTGTGTACGTAGTATGATTGTTGGTATGTGTGTGCCATGGCTTGCTTGCATATGGAGGGCAAAGGACAGGTGTGTGGAGTTTTTCTTCCACCTTTATGTTCATGCCAGGGATTGCACTTAGCTCATCAGGCTTCACCCAGCAAACACCGAGCTAAGTCGTCTTGCTGGCCCCTGTTTTTATTTTGTTATTTTTCCAAGGGCTTAATTTTCGACAGTAAAGCTAATTATACCAGTGAGCAATAATGTTTGGAGGTTCTTACTCTAATTCGGGTTCATAAAACATGTGTCAGAGCCACCTGGTTGGCTGCATCTTTTCCTTGAGGTGACTAGGCTTCATTGGCCTTTGGGTAGGACACAATGGTTATCTTCTCTCCATAGAGCTCCAGGACAGAACTTGTCCCAGCTGTAGCCCCATTAGCCCAAGTCCCAATAGAATGACCTAGTAGGCAGTGAAGAATGTTTCTAGGCCTTGCTCCATAGTTTGTGTTTGTGACTTTTAGAAAGATATGTTTGGTGACATCATTTGTAGCATTATGCCTGTTCGTTATCATTAGCTTCCACAAGATCATGAAGCCAGGCTTTTTCTTTTTATCTAGCATGAGGACTTTAATATTTATTTTTAAATATTATTTATTTGTTTGGTTGGTTTGGTTTTTTGAGACAGGGTTCCTTTGTATGTCTTGGACTTACTTTGTAGATCATGCTGGCTTCAAACTCACAGTGATCTGCCTGACTCTGCCTCCCAGCTTAAATTAAAAAGTAAGTAAAATCACTTTATGAACTCACAAATAGAAACAACACAGAGATTAAGGTAGCTACTTAATAAATTAAGGTAGCTACTCAAACACTTGCCCAATCCCAAATTCTATACATTTAGTGAGTTTCTGGACAGCTAGAGTGACCATTCTGAAACCATGGAATTTTGCTTAGGGTTGTACACTGACTGTCAGTTACATTTTTTTACCCCTCCCACCACAAAAAAAAGAGAAAACCATGACAGTTGAAACTAGAAAATGGTTAACTTTCTATATTAGTCCCTTGCCTTCATTTTGTCCTTTCAGTTAACTGAATAATATTCTGTTTTGTATATGAACCACATTTTTATTCTCTATTCCTCTATTGATGGACATCTGGATTGATTGCATTTCCTTGATATAGTAAGTAGAGCAGCAATAAACTTGGATGTGCAAATATCTCTGTGATAGGGTATAGAGTGTTCTGGGTGTGTGCCCAGGAGTGGAATGTCTGGGTTATATGGTAGTTCTAGTTTTAAGGAACCTCTAGACCAGTTTACATAGTGGCTTTATTAATCTGTACTCCACCAACAGTGAATAAGGGCTCTTCTTTCCCCATATCGTCTCTCAGATTTATTGACAATTTTCTTTTTAAAAAAATACTTTTTAAGAGCTGAGTTTGGTGACGCATGCCTTGGGGAGGCAGAGGCAGGCAGATCACTGTGAGTCCAAGGCCAGCCTGATCTACAAAACAAGTCCAGGACAGCCAAGGCCACACAGAGAAACCCTGTCTCAAAAAACAAAAACAAACAAAAAACAAACCCCAAAACAACAAAAAAGGATTTGTTTCATTTTTGAGTTACTAACATGTACATATGTGTAAGGGGTGGGGGTCGTTTGCATGCCTTGTCCATAGAAGCCCAAAGCTTCATATCCCCTGGGGCTGCAGTTACAGGTGTTAGGAGCTGCCAGCTGTGGGTGCTGAAACCCAGGAACTGAACTTAGGTTCTCTGGAAGAATAGTTGGGGCTCTTAACCTCTTAGCCATCCTTCCAAACCTATAGATGACATATTTTGATGGTGGTAGTTAGTTGCATTGTCAAAGGCCCTAGTTCTAAGATGACCGCATACTCCCTCTCCAGAAAGTAGCAGGAGGTTAGCTCCCAGGGGTGGTTGCTCAGCTTCCTCCTTTGCTGTCAGGTCTGTCATTCTTGGCACAGCAGAAGACTTCAGCTTCTGATATAGCCTGCCTTTGCTTGAGTTTTCGCTTAGGGCTTGTCATTGTTTTTCACTGATGTTTTTAGTAGATGGGCAAGTTTTTATCCTTGATTATTGCCTTTTTTTTTTTCCCTCTTAAACAGAAAGCCTAATTTAGGAGCATTAGTGAAGACAGCCCACTGATGTGGTGCTCCTAAGAGAGCTCAGTGACATTTTGGGAACCCTAATATAGCCAGAGTGATATGTTAATACTACCATGCACTAGTCATCGTTTCTCACCCAGCTCTTCCATCTTCCTTTAAATCCTGAATAGTCTTGAACCTTGCCTCTGAGATTGCTGAACTGAAAAAGGCTAGCCTTGTCCCTGAGTACTCTGTCTTAAGTTCTGCTAGGAATCTATCATCCATCTTTCTTTTCTTTCTTAAGAAGATTAAAGATGGGCTGGAGAGATGGCTCAGAGATTGAGAGCACTGCTTGCTCTTCCAGAGGTCCTGAGTTCAATTCCCAGCAACCATGTGGTGGCTCACAACTGCCTATAATGAGATCTGGTGCCCTCTTCTGGTGTTCAGGTGTACATGCAGGCAGAACATTGCATACGTAATAAAATAAATAAATCTTTAAAATAAATAAATCTTTATTTTTAATAAAATAAATAAATCTTTAAAAAAAAAAGATTAAAGATTAGAGGCATGCCTTTAATCCCAGCACTAGGGAGGCACAGACAGGTGGATCTCTATGAGTTGGAGGCCAGCCTGGTCTACAAATCCAGTTTCTGGACAGCTAGGGCTGTTACATAAAGAAACAAAACAAAGAAAATCTTTGAGAATACAGTGTGTTTTGATCATATTCATTCTTCTCCTCTACCCCCAGATGCATCCCCCTCCCCTGCCTATCCTTTGTCTTGAAAACAGTGTTTCTTTCAGAACCTCCTTATCATTCATCTTCCTGTGTTCAGTTCCTGGATCCTGAGATTACAGGTGTACCTTCATCCCTGGCTTTCAGGTCCAGTCACCCCTCCCTTCCCTTCCTTCTATTTTCTTCTTCTTTTTCTTCCTCCTCCTCCTCCTCTTTTTTTTTTTTTAGATTTATTTAAAAAATATTCGTTCATTCATTTATTTATTTATTATTTTTATGTTGCATGTACACCTGCATACCAGAAGAGGGCATCAGATCTCAGTATAGATGATTGTGAGCCACCATGTGGTTGCTAGGAATTGAACTTAGGACCTCTGGGAGAGCAGCCAGTGCTCTGAACCTCTGAGCCATTTCTCTAGCCCCTTAAGATGTATTTTTATTGTATGTGTTTCAGTGTTTTCCCTGTATGTTATAAGTGCACCGTGTGCAAGCAGTACCATCAAGGCCAGAAGAGGAAGTCTGATTGTCTGGAACAGAAGTTACAAATGGTTGTGAACCCCTTTCTGGGTGTTAGAACCAAACCTGAGTCCTCTGAAAGAGCCCTTTAGAAAACAGAACACACAAAAACATAACAAGTCCAATTTGTGCTGCCCTTGCATGTATTCTTGGATATGAACTTCTACTGCAGTTTAACCTAGCCGGGCCACACTTGAGAAAACCGGCCCCTCTGTGATGACAGCAGGAAGTCTCCCCACGTAGTAGCTGTCAGATGTGTTTCCTGTGTGCCCAAGGGTTTTGGGACATGATTGTTCTAGGTGGGCGAAGTCCCACCTGCTGGCTGGAGTGGAGTGTGGCTGTGGGCTCAGTCTTTGTTGATGGCCGTGTCTTCGTGAGACAGTGTGGGGCCGAAGACGCAGTCCTGCCCAGTGCCAGTCACCTGCAGGTGTGAGGCTCGAGGTTCCCTTTGGCATAGCCCTATGGGAGCAGAGGTGACTCTCAGTGCAGATTTCCTCAGCCCCAGACTCCAGCCCAGGGTCTGGGTGAGGTGAGGTGAGCCTGTGCTTCTGAACATACTTGTTTTGTACTCGATGGCCTAGCAGTCCAGGAGAGACTTCCATAACAGGTGGAATTCCTAAGTCTTCCCAAGTCTTGAACCTTCGCCTGTGCAGGGAAATCAGGCCACCAGCTCTGCTCTGCACCTGAGGAAAGGCTTGTTCCTGCTCCAGTCTTAACAGGTCTCGTTAGCAGGTTACACCGTCTGAGATCTCCTGGGTGTTAGGAGACAGTCTCCCTGAGGGTAGGGCCTCTTGGCAAACTGAATGTTTCCTGAATTCTTAAGTCTTTAAGGTTCAGATCTTTGAATGAAGTGGAAGCCCCTTTAAAAGGGTGGGCAGGACAGTCTTAGAGTACAAGTTAGTAAGTAAGGTCTTGTTTAAAGGACATGGTCATTTTAGGTGGGAAGTGCTTTGCATATCGTGCATGTGTTTTCCTCACTTCTGAATCCTGATTGGTGTGTTTTTGGAGAGATTGCTTGTGTTTTCCAGCTGTAAACACTAGTCCTAATGACTTCTGACAACTGTAGCAAATTAGAATCTCAATCTCAACATAAGTTAATTTACAGTGTCCTGTTAAGTATGCTGCCCTGCCCACTGTGGCAGGCCATGGACACCCAGGCAAATTCTTTGGGCTGTGGATTTTACTTAAGTCATTGGTGTCAGAAGTGAGACTGGGCTGCTGTTACTGATGTGGGCAGGAAAGCTGCATTGCATTTTGCACAAAGATTGTAGTAGAACAGGCAGGAGGTGTGTGTGCTGGGCTGTGTGCCCATGTCTGACGTGTGTGCCCTTCTCCCTGCAGCTGAGGAGTACCTGTCATTTGCCTTTGAGCACTGCCATCGTTCCAGCCAGAAGAACAAAAGGATGATTCTGATCTACCTGCTGCCAGTGAAGATGCTGCTGGTGAGTGACCAGCAGAGTCTTTGTAGCTCGCACAGTATGCTCATGCTCTGTGGTGTGTTGCATGTGAGTGCGCCCAGAGCAGAGCTCCCATGTGCCTGCACGGCATGCCCATACAGCCCCAAGTCCTTCCAGGGGAGTTTTGCTGTGTTTGCTTCTCTTGAAATTAACCCTGAACCTCAATATTCATATAACAAGTGAGACAAGTGTTTATTATATATATTTCTCCTTAAAAGCTAAATTAATTGCAGTGAATTAATAGGAAAGATGCCGTTCCAGTTTGCCTGTGGGAATCCAAATACCTTTGAGACAGTCTTACGAAGCTCGGGTAGGACTCAAACTTAATGTAACCAAGACTGTCCTTGAACTCTGATCCTCCTAACTCCAGCTCCCTGCAGGTGTATATTACCCCAAAATTCATTTTTGATACTTAAACAGGGAAGCCACATGGGTAGTTACACTAGTCAGCTGGCATAGCATCAAAGTGAAGTGCTTCTTGTTTTACATCTAAGACTAATGCATAGCGACGGGAGGAGAATGGTGCTGCATGTGGCTGAAACATGGGTAGTTGAGAATTGCTTAGAAATATGGGGAGCAGGGAAGCTGCCTTTCCCTGCCCCAGTCCTGCTGGACAGTGAGTTGAGCATTTTCAGCTAACTCCCCTGAGAGACATTTCTCATTCCCCATTCCTGTGCTTATCCTGGCATCTCTTCAGTTACCACCCGCCCCTTGTTACACAAGTGACAAGCCATATGAGGTCAGGATCAAGGTCATATCCATTGAGTCAACAAAACTGGTATCCAGGCTTATTTCTTGATGAGAGTTGCTGTGCCCTGGCGTAGTGTTACATTTTATTTTTGTGTTTATCTGTATGGGTGCATGCTGCAGCACTCATGCAGGTCAGGGCTTAATGCTGTCAGACTGTCCGGCATTAATGCTCTTCTTTCACTCTAGGGATTGAACTCAGGTCATCAGGCTTGGTGGCAAGTGCCTCGACCTGCCAAGCCTTCTAACTGGCACAGCATGGGGTGCTATATCCTTGCTCTACTTCGTATATTTGGTTTGTTGTGCTTTTGTTTGGTTTAAAGTTAATTTCTTGATAAGAACCCTACTGATCATAGCTCTGTTAAAACTGAAAATGTTGGGACTGGAGAGATGGTTCAGTGGTTGAGAATGTTTGGTGCTCTTACAGAGGACCAGAGTTTGGTTCCCAGCATCGATGTCAGGTGGCTCATAACTGTGTGGAACTCCAGCTCTGAGGGATCAAACGCCTTCCTCTGGCCTCTGGGCACCTACACACGGATGATGTATAATACAGATACTCTCATGTACACACTTTTTAAAAGTGAAAATTTCTCTTACGGAAAGCTGACACTTTCTGTCTTAGGGTCACATGCCAACCATTGAGCTCCTGAGGAAATACCACCTCATGCAGTTTTCAGAAGTGACCAAAGCCGTCAGGTAGGCCCATCCTTTCCACTGCTTTAAGAACAGGAAGCTAAAAGAAATTACATGCCTGTCCTGAAAGCCATGGTGACCTCTCTTTCCGGAATTCTGCTGTATGACCATGTGGTGTTCCTCCTTTCCCAGTGAGGGCAACTTGCTATTGCTCAATGAGGCACTGGCAAAGCACGAGACTTTCTTCATCCGCTGTGGCATCTTCCTCATCCTGGAGAAGCTAAAGATCATCACGTACCGGAACCTCTTCAAGAAAGTGTGAGTGTGCCTGGGAAGAGTGCTGTTCTGCAGGCATGTGGACCGAGTTTGAGCCCCAGAATCCATGAATCCATGAATGCTGGAAGCTTGCAGAACAGCTAGCCTGGCATGTGTAAAAACAGCTGAGACAAGGAGACCCTGTCTCAGCAAGGTGGCAGGCAAGGCCTGACAGCTGAGGTTGCTTTCTGAACTCTACATGCACACCTGCATTCTCACAGACGTCTGTGCGCCCATCATACACACAGACACATGCACACACAGACCTACACAGAGCAAAACACAAAGCAGGGTGTCTGACAAAGGGAGCCCTGGGGCAGATGATGCAGCCCATTTTGACCTATGTGGTCAGCATCCTGCCCCTCTTGGGACACAGGCTGACCCTGAAGACTGTGCAGTTGACTTGCTGTGGCTTGGTTGGCAGTAAACTCAGCATTAGCTTCGGGTGCAGACACCTTCTGTCCATGCAAGCTGTGGAACTGATGTCTTCTTTCCTTTTCTGTCATGGGAGCCAGCTTATCCCCTAAAACCCCTGTGTGTGTCAGGGAGTAAATGTGATGGTTCCTTCTGAGTGTGATGCTGCACGCTGCCTCTTCTGGGGCTGTGTCCCTGCCGCTCTCACACGCAGACTTGTAGACAGCTGGAGCAGTCTATAAGGAATAGTTCAGAGGGGCTGAAAGCCCAGGAGACCTCAGAGCTACTGACTCACGACAGAGTATGCATTGAAGGCTTAGTGACGCACTCAGTGAATGTCTAAAAATTTCTACTCATAAAGTGGGGTTTACAATAGAAAGCTTCTATATTGTTGTGCTTATAGCTGTTGGTGGGGTGTGCTTTAGGGTGTATCTAATCAATGGAAACCTAACACGTGTGTACGTGTATGTACGTGTGTGTGAATGTGAAGGTCTGGTTCACTAAGTAATGTCGTCTCTTACTCTCAGGGCTTCTCCTTTTGGTCCTTGAAGTACTGAGTCTTAATGTTTATTATGGTGATTTCTTTCGTAGGTATTTGTTACTGAAAACACATCAGCTGTCTCTAGATGCCTTTCTGGTCGCCTTGAAATTCATGCACGTGGAAGATGTGGACATTGACGAAGTCCAGTGCATTCTGGCCAACTTGATATACATGGTGTGTGTCTTTGCCTGCTCAGTGGGGCTTTAAAGTGGTGCTAATGTCACCAGCAGACCTTTTCTATTCTTAAAGCATTTTCTGATAGAACTAATTTTTATGCCAGAAAATACTACTTAAAGGGCCTCATTCTCTGCCACATGTGTTTGCCAAGCCCCGGGGAAGAGTGTTTTCTGTCATCATCATATCACCTGGCATATTTGATGTGACTGAGACTGAGAAGTGTAAGCTGGTCCTTTTTCTCTGTTTCAGGGTCACATTAAAGGCTACATCTCCCATCAGCATCAGAAACTGGTCGTCAGCAAGCAAAACCCTTTCCCCCCACTGTCCACGGTGTGCTAATGTGCAGGCCCTGTAGGTAGAGGTCAGTGCTGCTGCAGCTTCCTCTGCGGCCCAAGGCTTCTGGTGCTTCCCAGGGCCACCGAGGCTGTCGCCAGCACCTACCTGACTAGCCGTGCTCTCCACTGACTCATTTCAGCTTGGCAAACCTGGAATTCTTTGGGGACAAACACCTGTGCTGCTGGCCTGTGGTGCTGTGAACTACTGGGACGGGAACAGCTATGCTTCAGTTTTATGTGTTGTTGACAGAGGCTGTTTTTGTAATGTTTTATAGCCTTTCCTTTCTTTCTTTTAAGAAAAGGTTATCCAAATTTATACAAATGATGCATTTTTTTTATTGTATGTTACATGATATGTCTGTTTTCATACTCAAACTCTAAGCATTTTCTGAGCTCAAAATGCTTGGTTAACTTGAGGCTTCTTTTTAAAGTAGGATATAGGGGCTGGAGAGACGGTTCAGCAGTTAAGAACAATTACTGCTCTGTCACAGGACCTGGGTTTGATCCCAGCACCTACATGGCAGCTCAGAACTGTCTGCAACTCCAGTTCTAAGGGATTCAATGCCCTCTTCAGCTTCTGTGGGCTCCTGCACACATGTCCAGAAGCTCACTCAGACACACATGCACATATAAATAAATCTTGTTTTGTTTTGTGTGTGTGTGTGTGTGTGTGTGTGTGTGTGTGTGTGTGTGTGTTTAAAGTAGAATTTAGTGTGATGTAACTTTTTCAGATCTCTGCTCATTTCCTATCAGTTCTGAAGGCTGCGGGTCTAAGACAAGGCCTGGCAGCTGGGCTCTGGCCATGGTCCTTTATGAGCTCCAGTTGGCTGTCCTCTGCCTCTCTTCCCTTTCCTACAATGACTGTGCTGTCAGGCCCTCGCTCTGCAGCTGCATCTAGCTTAACCAGAGATCCTTCCTCTATACAGTTACCCTGGGTTGGGCCTTAGCAGAAGGATTCTGGGGACAGTTCATCCCTCAGCACTGGAGACATTCCTGTGAGTATCCTCTGTGTGGTGTTGTTTGTTTTTGTTTCATTCTTTCTATCTATCTATCTATCTATCTATCTATCTATCTATCTATCTATCTGTCTGTCTGTCTATCATCTATCCATCCATTTATTATCCATCCTTCTTGTCTGTCTGTCTATCTTTCTATCTGAGGTAGGGTGTTTTTACATAGTCTGGCTGGTATGAACGCTCCATGTAGACCACGCTGTCCTAGAACGTGATGCTCTTCTTGCCTCTGTCCCCAGGCTAAGTGCTTGGGATTACAGGTGTGTGCCGCCATCTGAAGCTTATGTTCCCCTTGTTTATGAGAAATGCACTAAGGAAGAATGGCCACTACATCGGTTAGACTCTGCAAAGTTGTCATGTTGAGAAGCTGTCCCTTGCATACATGAGCTGTGGTGGAACTTACATGTTCTTTGTGGGGCAACCCTGTGTGTGGCTGCTTCATTGACATCCTTTTGTAGTGGCAAAACCACCCATCACTGCTCTGAAGCACTAGCATCCTGGCTTTGCCCAGATCTTCGCCTGGTCAGGACTTCTTGGGTTTTGGCATCTGCTCTATGTGATAGGGAATATGACCCTGGGGGTTAAAGGTGGCTCACTTCTGTGCTAGGTGTGGCCTTGGGCATGCTGGCCTCAGTGGGTGGGGAGGGGTATGCACAGCTTGGGTTCTCCATGTGGCTCTCTCCAGCAGCTGAAGCTGAGTTCCAGGACAGGAGCCAAAGGAAGTAGTCCCTTTTATGGCCTTGTGTTATGAGTTTGCACCACTTTCCAGCTGAGAACACCACCTGTGCCCACACACTAGTGTATGTCCCTGTTGGCAGCATGTTCCTGGGCATGTCCCATGAACCCAAGACCCACTCTCCCAACAAGTAGCCTGGTGTGTGGAGGAGCCGTCTGGCAGTGAATATAGCCTCTAGCTGCCAGAGCTGATGAGCTCCACCAAGGCCGAGCCTGCCTCCCTGTCTCCTTTGTGTGCATGTCTGCAGTGTTGCCCCCCTGCAACATGGAAAGCTGACCTGATAAAGCGGTGTCCTTGCAACAATTCAAAGATTGGGTTGCTGTGAACATCCTGGGGCCATTGTTCGGAGTTTAGTAGCAACAATCGAATATTCAGGCGTCTCCAGGGAATTGATTAAACAGTGACATCCCAAGTCAAGAACTGATTAAGTTGATAAGTAGTTGAACTTGGTGGTTAAAGAAACAACCTCTCTGTAGGGTGTCCATGTGTGTTGTCTCTGGTGTCTTGTGTGTTGAGCCCTACTTTGTGGGCACACAGACCCATGTTATGGTGGCTAGTTGGCATCAACATCAGATACTCAGACTTGCCTAAGGGTACATTTTATAGTTGTCATTTTGAGACAAGGTCTTAACTCTGTACCCCAGTTTGTCTTCAAACTTTGGGCGTTCCCACCTTGTCCCCTCACCTCATCAGGCCTTTTCCTGCTTTATAAAATGTCACCACAGCCACACCGAGACTATTCCCCTTAATCCTGCCCAGGCATAGCCTCACTGAGCTAGCACAGGGCTGAGGTGAGAGGCTCCAGCACTCCATGGAATTTGTGAGGGCTTCTTCTTCACCCTGAGTATTCAGGTACAGTGTTAGCAGGAGGTCCACAGTTGTCTTCCAAAACTAACCCTGCTTTTCTGTTCCCAGCAGTCAGTGAGCCATGTAGAATCAGAATCAGGATGCCCTTTGGCTCACTGGTAATTCTGAGAAGCCTCTGTGCCCCAGATGTCTGCTATAGTGTGTGACAGGCCAAGTGGGACACCAGCACATGTGCTCATAGCCCCTCGCCACTCAGCTAAATTTCACTCAGTAACTCAGCTGGTTTACAACTGACATTGATTTTATTTCACATACCTTTTTTTTTTTTTTTCCTGAAGGTCTCTGTTTAGATAAAAATTACAAAGGAAAAGCTCTTCCCTGCTGGGTAGCTTTCATAGTACTAGAAGATCTGTGCCAGCTGCAGGGGCAGCCAAGGCATCAATTGCCTTACTGCAGTACTGGACCCTGTGTCCACAATACTGGCATGCCAGATAAGGTGTGCACACTGGTGCAATCGTGGCATAACTGTTATGGAGCAAACAGCTGCTTCCTGGTTGAATTTGAGGCCTGCTGCACACGAGGGATTTTGTGTTTAAAACTATAATTTTGGTCAAAAGCTTGTGAGTGGGGAAGTTGTAGGCCTAGGGTAGGCCCTGCTATTACTTTGCTAAATGCTCATGTTAAAAACCAGCTTCTAAATATTTACGTTCATACCTATAGAGCTGGATTGTCTGCAGCCTTGGTCAGAGAAGCTTCTCTTTATACTGGGCAACCATTAATGCAAAGATGCCTGATGGGTCCAAGGACTGAGAATGAGCGCGTTCAGCCCTCAGTGGGACATCTTAATCAACAGGCCCCAGCTCTCCCCAGCCCCTGCACTCTCTCCTCCATTAAGCTCATCTGAGGAGTGCCTTCTGGACAGGGCAGGCTTATTCCATGTGCAGACTCACCACAGCTGTGGGGGTGTCTTCAACACTGCACAAGATCAAGGTGGACAAGATTCTGACAAAGGTGGGCTGTGCTCTGTGCCCCACTCTTTGCTGAGGAGCCACTGGCAGTTGAGAGCTGCTGGGGGAGGCCAATTGTGTGTTTTTGAGGGTGCACCAGTGGCTAGAGCACACACACAGAGGTAGCATTAGCTGCACTTAGTGGATTATCAAAAAATAAAAAGAGACCTGTGGGAGGGCCACGTTGAGAAGAATAGAAAGCAAGTTGGAGAAGGGAAATGGGATGAGGGTGTGGTCATACTGTATTCGTGTATGGAATTCTCAAGAATAAAGATTTAAAGTCCCAAGGAAAGAGGTCACCTTCTAGGAGAAACCAGCAGGACCTGAACACCTGGCAGCTGTGTTGTTGGATTTCAGCTACTTCATGATCTGTTTAAGCCACATGGAGTATCTTGGGACTGTGGTGAGGAGGAGCAAATGTGACGGCCCCGGTGGTGGCTGTGAGCCTAGGATCCCTGTGAGGAACCAGGTGCCCTTGTGTTCTCGGGTCACTGCACTTCCCTCCAGCCAAGGCCCGGTCTCCACACTGCCTTTCTCACAGCCTGTTCTCGTCGTCACGGTTACATTCAGGGTCTGTCCACACTCCTCTCTGTCTGCACCGGTGACAGAAAGCACCATGGGTGTGGTATCCAGGTCTGTGCCACTGAGCATCCAGCCGCTGAGGAGACCCTCAGTTCCAGGGATGAGGACATGCTCCGCGAAGTCCCTCTCTGGAACACAGACAGGGAGCCCTGAGCGGGGACACTGCACAGGTCTCGCTAGCGCCAGGAGTGAGATGTCATTCTCCCCCGACTCCTCCTCATAGTGCATGTGCACGTGAGTGCTCTTGACCTCGATCCTCTGGCCAGCATCTGAAATCAAGCAGTCAGCCACCTTACAGTGTGCAGCCACCACGACCTGATTTCCCAGTGAAACCCTGGTGGGGCAGCCACAGTGTTCTAACCGGAAAGCTAATCCCAGCATGGGCCAGGCCAACCACTTCCCTTGGCCCCTTGACACTGTCCTCAAAAACGTCAGATGTTTATTCTGGAATACAATACAGCATGGGGAGGGGTTAGAAAACAGGAGGCGCCAAAAAGAAATGTCTCCAAGCCTGTTGGGCTGAACATGGCTGCTCAGGACTCTTCATGCATTTAGCTCTTTCAGGCTGAGTCTCAGCTGCTTGCCTATTCATGCAAGTAGTTAGGGATGAAGAGTGGGACATGCTCACTCCAAGGCTCACATTTGCTGTTGATCTCATCCATGGCTGCAGAGGAAGTCTCCAATGGGGAGAAATGATTGTCCAGATTTTAGGGATGAAAAAATGAGGCTACAGGTTGAGTCTTGCAATGAGATCATGAGGAGGGATTTGAACCCAGCAAATCTGGCCCTCAGCCAGCCCTCTGTGTCCAGGTGGCTGCTGTACTGCCGGGATTCATTCTGTGCTAAATGCTACGTAGCACTGCCTGCTGTGTCCAAATTCTAGTAGATACCTCTTGTATTGTCAGTGCTTGTGGTTTTACAGCTATCTCACTATTGGAGCTATTTTATGTCTGGCCTTAGAAAATTTCCAGTAGAAAGGTTTTCATTTTATTCCTCTGTTGGATTGCTTTATTTATAATGAGATCTTATAAAATTCATGAAACACTTACTTGCTTTTACACTAATGTTGTTGTGTAATAGTGAACACTTTGCTGTTGTCAACACGAAGTCTTCCTGTATTAAGACACCAGCACAGAAGTCCATTCCTTCAGAATCTGTTAACCTGACCTTTCAAAAAAGAGAATGGCAGTTAGTAGCTAGTGTGACTTCGGGAAGAGTAAAGCTGAGTGCTATCCTGGGCATCAGGGGCAGTTAGTCACTGTCTGCTGCCTCTTCCACAGCCACCAGGACTTGGACACCACTGCCTAGGTCTAGAGGCCCTTTCTGGCAAAGGAGAGTAATGGCTGTCAGATTTGCCCTCCCCATGGAACAAGGCAAAAAGACAGAATTGAAGGGGTTGGTCCCTAGAGACTGTGATCTCTCAGGGGCAGAGCTTTTGTGACTCCTGAGTTTTCAGGATGCAGGGCAGGATGGATAACTCAAGCAGAGCCCAGAGGGGCAAGGAAGTGGT